CAAAAGAATTAAAACCTGTAAGAGCCTCTAGGCGTACCCAGCGCTGCCTGTGGTTAGCCCTTCAGACTGGCAGCGACCTGAGGGCAGGGCTGGGGTTGAGCTGAGGACTCGGGGGGTATCATTGTTTTTTGAATGGAATGAATGAATGAATGAATGAATGAATACATTAATATGCAGCCCCTGGCCTAACATTCCCTCTGCCAGGAATGCCTTTTCCCCACCTGTGACTCTGCTGGTGGATTCTTGTTGATCCCCAAATCCAGTTCCAGTATTTTTCCTCCTCCAGGAAGCATTCCCTGCTTGCCCTTCCTCCTGCCTAGGGCTGAGTTCCTGATTATCCCCACATCTTGAGTTCCCCTAAATCTTTGTCCCTTTTTCTGCGTGGGGTTGAGAGTGGATCTGGCTTCCCTGACAGACTGGGAACCTCTGGCATGTTTTAAGGGTTCTCAGCATTGCCTGCCACAAAGGGCTGAACCCAGGAGGGTTTGTTTAATGATTGATTGAGTGATCACTGCCTCTTCTTTACAATTCCAGAAATACAACCAAAAAATATAACATCATGGCCTTCAATGCAGCTGATAAAGTCAACTTTGCTACTTGGAATCAGGTAAGTGCTGGTTCTGAAGGGGATGAGAACTTGATCGTGGATGTCATGGCTGTGATGGTAACTAAGGCTTAGTTTCCCCAGCACTTCTCCAGTGGAGATAAATGGTGACTAAGGTCCAGGTTGAGCTGCTGGGCTCTGAGTAAAAATCTGTCAGTCCCTACAAGAGGTCTTCTCCTAAAAGGAGAACATTTAGAAATTGTGCCCACTAATGGGCATTTTTGGCCTAGATTTATCTGGGCAAGGGAGGAGGCTACATCTTCTCACAGCCGCCATTGTCAGAGGCTCTGGAAAGGACTTTGGATGTTGTCTTAGTCTTTTGGGGCTGCTCTAACAGAACATCATATAAACAACAGACATTTATTGCTAACAGTTCAGGAGGCTGGAAGTCCAAGATTAATGCGCCAGCAGATTCGGTGTCTGGTAAGACTTGCTTTCTGGTTCATAGACAGTAGTCTTTTTGATGTGTCCTCGAGGAAGGGGGCAAGGGAACTCTCTGGGATTCTTTTGTATAAGGGCTCCACCCTCATGACAAAATCACCTCCCAAGATAACATCCCACGGGTGTTAGGTTTCAATATATGCATTTTGGGACAGAGACACAAATATTCAGGCTATAGCAGAAGCCATTAAGGATTTTAAACAGGGATTTTGTAAAGTGACCTCCCTGCTGAGGTGTGGAGGGCAGATGAAGAAGGGTGGAGGTGACAGTGTGGTCCTGATAAGCAATGATGGGGCTTTGAAGCAAACAGGTAATGAGAAATGATTGAATTATAGTGGGTTTTGGAGGTGGAGCTGACAGGGTTTGTTGGTGGATTGGCTATTGAGAGGTGAGGACCAGGGCAGAATTACAGACATACATTTTAAAATAATATCTACCACCCAGCTAGGTGTGACTCAGCAGTTGAGCATAGACCTAGGATCCAGGAGATTGTGGTTTGATTCCAGGTCAGGGCACATGCCTGGGTTGTGGGCTTAATCCCCAGTTGGGGGTGTGCAGGAGGCAGCCAATCAGTGATGATTCTCATCATTGATGTTTCAATCTCTCTGCCCCTCTCCTTTCTCTCTGAAATCAATAAAGATATATTTAAAGTAAATAAAATAATATCTACTGTTAAATTGTCCAGAGATTGAAATTTGGAAAACCTCAGACTTTAATGGCATGTGAATTCCTGGGGCAGTTTAGAGTTGAATGCAGAGAGAGGAAGTTCAGTTCCAAGCAGGTTGTTTTCATTGTTGTTTTTGTTTTACCACCACAGTGATCTTACTGTGTTTGTTTGTTTGTTTCTTTTTTTTCACTTTTTATTTGGAAATAATTTCAGACTTTCAAAAAGTTGCACAAATAGACATAGCACAAAGCTTGCCCATATCCCTTCACTCACATTGACTGAGTACCAACTTTCTACTTTTTTTTGCCAAACAGGGTATTGGCTTGGAGTGTCTGTAGCTCAGCTTGGGGAGAGTAAAGGGTGTACTTGGGGGTAGGGGCACAACCTGAGCAAAGGTAGGCACTCTAATGAGAGATTTTGCTTCCTGCTTCTCCCATCCTGTCCCCCCCAGGCCCGACTAGAGCGAGACCTGAGCAACAAGAAGATTTACCAAGAGGAGGAGATGCCCGAGTCAGGTGCGGGCAGTGAGTTCAACCGCAAGCTTCGGGAGGAGGCTCGGAGGAAGAAGTACGGCATCGTCCTCAAGGAGTTCCGGCCCGAGGACCAGCCCTGGCTGCTCCGAGTCAATGGCAAATCGGGCAGGAAGTAAGTAGTGATGGCAGCAGGTGCCCATCCTTGTCCTCTCACATGCCCTCACTCTGTGGGGTGCTCTCCCAGAATTTGTATGCCCCATATGCACAGCACGGGTGACAGCTTGTCCTCCCTCATGGGGTTTAATTTTTAAAGATGAACCAAGTTGGTGCTTGCATAGGAGCTCTAAGGGCCAGGATGCAGGAAGCCCGGGCACCTGCCCTCATCATATACAGCCAGGGGCCACCTTGAAGGCAGTAGGCAGGGAAGGGGCACTCTGTAAGGTTGCCTGGACTTTTGTGTGGGAAGAGTGTGAGGGTAGATGCCAGGAGGAGGCTGGCAGTGGTTCAGGCCCGAGGAGGAGCCTGAAGGCAGATCAGAGGGTTCTGACTGCACAGTTTATCTAACATGTTCCTTTTATGAAAGGACCATGATATGTACAATGCAGGGAGCCCTGAGCCCGCTCTGCAGGGTGGGAACACTGGTCGTGCTTTCCAGATTTGGCAATCAAAGGCTCTGACAGTTCAGGGGCTAGCCCAAAGCCTCCCAGCCTCTGGTTTTGCTCAGAGAAACCAGCTCTGTAGAGGGGGCAGGCCTGGGGGCATGGGTGGGCCAGGGCTGGTCCGTCTGGCCAGGTTGTGACCATGGCTCTTTGCAGATTCAAGGGTATAAAGAAGGGAGGTGTGACAGAGAACACGTCCTACTATATCTTCACCCAGTGCCCTGATGGGGCCTTCGAGGCTTTCCCAGTGCACAACTGGTACAACTTCACGCCGTTGGCCCGGCACCGTACGCTTACTGCCGAGGAGGCTGAGGAGGAATGGGAGAGGTAAGTGAGCCTGGGCTGGGCTGGGAAGGAGGCAGGATGCAGACAGTGTTGTCTCCCAGCTTTCCCAGTGGAAAACCAAAATAATTGGAAATGAGGTGGGTCACCATAACTTTATGACCAGCTGGGAGCTGGGGACTCGGTAGTGACCAAGCCAGACCCCACCAGGTCCTCAGGGAGCTCTCAGTCCAGTGGGGAGACAGACACCAAACCATCAGGGATGAACAGGGTCCTGTGAGGGCTAAGGAGGTAGTAACTGAGCACACATTGGCAGAGCAGGGCAGGGTGTCCCTGGATGCTTTGAGTTCCCCCAGGCAGGAGGTCCATGGCTAGATCACCTGCAGGTATCTGTTGCTTGAGATTGGTCTTATTATGGCCTTTGTTTTGAAGTCTCTTTTGTCTGATATAAGTATTGCTACCCCAACGTTTGTTTTTTTCTCTTTCTATTTGAAATGAAATGTTTCTGCTGAGAAATCAGCTGACAGTCTTATGGGAGCTCCCTTGTACGTAACTATTTCTTTTGCAGCTTTTAAGATCCTTTCTTTGTCTTTAAACTTTGCCATTTTAATTATGATGTGTCTTGGTGTGGACCTGAGATTGATCTAGAGCTGGAGAGGTGCTGGGATGCCAACACCACACCAACACCTCCTTGAGGGGCTTGGGGCAGAGGGAACTAAAGAAGGGTCAGCTCTTCCCATGTGATTTCAGGGTATTCCATGCTATTTGTGAGTCCCCTGGGGTCACATTATCCTTCTTATCACCTAAGTCATGTCTGTGGTTCCCCTCTGGGGAACACCCAGTGAGGTGCCGGGAGGCCTGTTATCAGACCCCACTGTACTCCCAATCCCTGCCCGCAGGAGGAACAAAGTCTTGAACCACTTTAGCATCATGCAGCAGCGGCGGCTCAAGGACCAGGATCAGGATGAGGAGGATGAGGAGAAGGACAAACGTGGCCGCAAGAAGGCCAGCGAGCTGCGCATCCACGACTTGGAGGACGACCTGGAGATGTCATCTGATGACAGCGAAGCCAGCGGCGAGGAGGGTGAGCCTGGGCAGAGACCCCTCTGGTGGCTGGAGTGGTCAGCACAGCTGCCTGGGTTGTGCCTGAATCTTACTTTATAAAAGTGGCTGAATAACAACACAGAGAGGTTAATGCCATTGAAAAAAAAATTTAGTTATAGTTTCCCGGGAGATGCGAGGCAGGCACAGCATGCCATGCAGGGCCACTTGGGGAAGCACCAGAATGAGTAGGAGGCAGAAATGAGTGATGGGCCCTGGACGGTGTGGTTAAGTTGGTTGTGCTTCATCCCATGCCCCAGTTCAATTCCCTGTCTGGGCACATGCCCAGGTTGCAGGCTCAATCTGTGGTTGGGGTGCTTGATGGGAGGCAGCCAATTGATGTTTCTCACATCACTGTTTTTCTCTCTTTCCCTTCCTCTTTCTCTAAAAAAAAAAAAATCAATAAAAAATTATTTAAAAAAAGATATGAATGATGGGAAGGATTTGGCCATGGCCTTTATTGGGGTTTCCAAGGGAAAGACAAGGCAGCGGAGGGAGATCACTTAGGATCCACCAGTTTGAATAATTCCTATGGTCTCTGGGCTCCAAGGGTAATTTAGGGCAGGAGACAGTGGCTCTGAGTGTGAGATTAGAGAAGGGGTGTGTCCAAGGGGTACAGGTCCCAGGTTGGTTTGTTTTGCACAGAAGAGGTGTGCCCCTAAGCAAGCCCTTTGTCTTATCTTAAGAATTGGCTAGCCCTGGTCTCTCCCGCTTTGTCAAGGCATGAGATAGATATCTCAGTATCATCGAATATACAAACCATGATGAGTGCTCAGCCCCCCTCCACTTACCCAGGTGGCAAAGCCCCCAAGACCAAGAAGAAGGCACTGACAACTAAGGCGGGCCGGAAGAAGAAGAAGAAGAAGGGGTCAGATGATGAGGCCTTTGAGGACAGTGATGATGGGGACTTCGAGGGTCAGGAGGTGGACTACATGTCTGACGGCTCCAGGTTAGGCAGGTGGGAGGCAGGTGGGAGACCTGCCAGCCTGGAGGAAGAGTTCACTCACCTTCTTCCTGTTCTCTGTCTAAACAGCAGCTCTGAAGAAGAGCTGGAGGGCAAGCCCAAGGTCACCCAGCAGGAGGAGGGCCCCAAGGGCGTGGATGAGCAGAGCGAAAGCAGCGAGGAGAGCGAGGAGGAGAAGCCGCCTGAGGAGGACAAGGAGGAGGAGGAGGAGAAGAAGGTGCCCACGCCACAGGAGAAGAAGCGGAAGAGAGGTGGGCTTGGCTTTCAAGACTTCTGCCCCTCTGCTCCCTCCCAGACCCCCTTATCTGAGAAAGAGCTGAGGGTGGCTATGGGTGTGTCTGGTCCTAACATCCCTTCTTTGGCCCCATACAGACAGCAGTGATGAGTCTGACAGCTCAGAAGAGAGTGACATCGACAGTGAGGCTTCCTCAGCTCTCTTCATGGCTGTAAGGCCCAGCCCCCAAGGTTGAGGGGAGGGGTGTCAGCCTTGGTGTCTGTTTCCAGACTCATATCTGCAACCCTGAAATTTGCAGAAAAAGAAGACTCCCCCCAAGAGGGAACGGAAGCCGTCAGGGGGCAGCTCAAGGGGCAATAGCCGGCCGGGCACACCCAGCACAGAGAGTGGCAACACTTCCTCCACCCTTCGGGCAGCTGCCAGCAAGCTGGAGCAAGGTGAGTGGCCTTCCTGTCCCACTGCATCTTTTTATTTGTGTTTTTTTTTTAAATGAATGAAAGAGAATAAAGTTACGATTCCTTTTTTTGTGTTTTTTTTTTAAACCATATCTTTATTGATTTCAGAGAGAGGAAAGGAAGGGGGGGAGAGAGAGAGAGAGAGAAAGATAGAAACATCAATGATGAGAGAGTCATTGATTGGCTGCCTAACCCGCAACCCAGGCATGTGCCCCGACCAGGAATCGAACCCTGATCTCCTGGATCCTAGGTCGATGCTCAGCCGCTGGGCCACGTCCGGTCACACCCCACTGCACCTTCTTGACCTCTGTTCTTGTCCTGTGCATTGAGCGTATCTGAGGCCAGATTAAGGGGCAGAAACCTATCTGCCCCAGAGCCTTTTGTATCCATAATCCAGGCACCACTCAGCCTGGAGTCCTGGGACATGTCCAGTCCCATTTCTAATACTCAGCCCTGCCTCTGCTCCCACAGGAAAGCGGACAAATGAGACGACAGCAGCCAAGCGGTTGCGGCTGGACAGCGGGCCCCAGAGCCTGTCTGGGAAGTCAACCCCTCAGCCCCAGTCTGGGAAGTCAACCCCCAGCAGCGGGTAAGTTGGTGAGGACAGCAGGGGCAGGATCGGGGCCCCTGGGAGGGAGGGCCTCCCACTCATCTCCCCACTCTCCACTGGGCTCCTCAGTGATGTGCAGGTGACTGAGGATGCTGTGCGCCGCTACTTGACGCGGAAGCCCATGACCACCAAGGACCTGCTGAAAAAGTTCCAGACCAAGAAGACAGGGCTGAGCAGCGAGCAGACAGTGAATGTGCTTGCCCAGATTCTCAAGCGCCTCAACCCTGAGCGCAAGATGATCAATGACAAGATGCACTTCTCCCTCAAGGAGTGAGGGGCTGGCCCCCACTCTTCTGCCCAATAAATAAGCTCTAGTCTTCAGAAGTTCATGTACTCTTGAATTCCACACACTCACTGCCATGGTTCCCACTGTCCATCTGTCACCTTGCTCCCTGAATCCCAGGACCCGACATTAATAAGCTGGAAAAACCTAAGCAGCGTTCTTCTCAATTTACTTCTTTCATTTCCCCCGAGCCCTCCTTCTGGAACCTTTAGATGTCTCTTAGAACTTATTTTGCACATGGGGTGATTTCTTCAGGTCTCTCTTTCACTTTGCCAGTTCTGTCTTCAGCTTAGTTTCTTTTTCAGATCAACTGGTCTGCTTTTTGTTTGTTTTTTAATTGTTTTTATTGACTTTTAGAGAGGGGAAGGGAGAGAGAGAGAGGGAAACATTGATTGCCCCTCATATGCACCTTGACCTGGGACCAAACCCGAAACCTGCGCATGTGCCGACTGGGAATCAAACTGGCAATCGCCTAGTGCATAGGATGATGCTCAACCAACTGAGCCACACTGGCCAGCGCAGCTGGTCTGTTTTGAGTGTTTTGGCCTTATTGTTTTTCATCTCTTCTTTCACATTCTTATTTTAAGCATCTTAGAGTTTCCATCAGACACATTAGCACCTGAAGCTCATAGGCATCTTGTTCTATCTTCGTATTCCTCCTTGTGATCGATTGTTTTGTAATCTCGGATAGGAGAACGGGTGGCCAGCTTGGGGCTTTTATCTGTGGGACTCCTGGATGGTCTACTTTACAGGCCAGTCCTAGATGATATTTGCTTTTGCTCCCACCAAGTGCCCCAGGAGTCCCAGCCTGAGCCCATTTGGGTTCATTCTCAGCTCAGTGGCTCTGTCCCTACATGGCAGCGAAAACCCAAACCCCTTTTATTGCTGATGTTGGGATCTGGGCTCTGTTTTTCAGCTTTCCAGTGATATTTCTGGGGCTTCCCCTATTTTCTTTCAAGTTGGTTATGCATTTATTTTTTTCTAGCATTGCTAGGTGTTCTATATTTGGAGACCTGTTCAATTTCGTGGACGATAAAGCTGCTGGAAATGAAATTTGGCAGCAGGCACTACTTTTGAATCCCTGTCCCGAGTGATCCAGACTTCCCCTCTCGGCTGGAAACTGCAGGTGGAAAACTTCCCTACCCAGTTCCACAAGACCTTGGCTGTTGACTGGGAATGCCTGAGATGTCAGGCTAATTCCTAGGAATGTCCAGGTCGGTCCAACCTCCCTCCCCATACTTCTGCCAGGCCTTTTTGGGGGCAGCAGGATGGAAGCTCTCACCTCTTGCCATGGCAGTTTCACCCCTGCACTCGTGGCCATGTGGACTGTGGTCTAAGGCCACCCCAACAGTCCAGGCCTTGTGCTTCAGTGGTTAGGAGCAGGGGTCTTGTGTTCAGTGGGACCTGGGTTCAGTTTCTGCCAGTGGTTTATTTTGGGTGGCTTTGGACAAGTGGCCTTTCTCTCTTTCTAAAAGTAGTCTCAAGCACTGCAATAAGAATGACCACACCAAAGCAGTGACGCACTCCCCTGTATGTGGATTTCTGGTCACTTCTGATGTGCCGATACAAACAAAGCGAATAGCCTGGGCTTGTCCCTCACCTAAGTACAAGTTCCCGAGGCAGTTCTAGGGTTAGAGAGATGGGATTTGCAATTCAGTATCAAATGCTCAACTGCTGTCAACTTACACTCCCTCCCACAGTGTGGGGTATGCCTGTCATGCATGCACCCCAGCCATGTGGAAGCAAATGTTTAGATTTTTGCCAATCTTGGGTTCTGAGTCTCACTTGAGTTTTAACTCAGTCTCACCTGTGTGAGGTCGAGCACCTCTTCAACATGCAAAAGCTATTTGAATTTCCTTTGTCTCAAAAGCTCTCCCAAGCTCCTCTATGCCAAGCACCATGTTAAACACTGACTGCCCTCAAAACCCCATGTGGGAGGGACTTTGATTAGCCTCCTTTCACTGGTAAGGGACAGTCTCACTTTCCACAGGCTACATGGGTTGGGTGTGGAAGTCACTGTGACTTGCAGCTGCCTCCAAGACCCAGTGGGAATCAACCTCTGCTCTTGCTCTGATGCCCTGGACACCAGGATGGGGCTGAGGTCCCAGAGTCCTCAGGTGGACCTTCTAGAGACAGGAGTCCCTGCAGGGTGAGCTTCCTGCCCCTTGTGTCCCAGCCCTTGGCTCTCTTAGAGTCTCTCCCTTTTCCTGTTTTGACACTGGCTCAGCCAGGCCCAGAGACAGGGGCATGAAGTCTTAATCCTCTAGGCGGATCCTCCATGATGGAGTCCCCATTAGCTAATTCACCTGCCAACCTACCTCTTCCCCTCCCCATTCCACCTGGTGCCCAACACAGGGGCTTCTGAGCCTCAGCACTCTGCCTGAGTGGGAAGGGGCCCCACAGAACCCCCCACCTGTCCTTCCAGATGGCAGATGGGGCAGGGACCCTGGTTGCTCACCCTGGGCTGGGCCCTGGCTGCCGCCACAACTATCGTAAATCAAAGGGTGGAGGGGTGTCGGAAATAGGCCTGTGGAATGTCTGGATGTGGGGGTGAGCCCTTAACTCTTAGAAGGACAGAATGTGAGGCAGAGGGAGCTGACCTGCCTGGATCTGGGGATGTGGAAGATAAGCTGGTGGGGGACACAGGGCCTTTGTGTCCATGCAGCATCCAGCAGTGAAGAGGTTATTTCCCAGACCAGATGGGGATAAATTGAGAGCACAGGACATGCCCATCCTCAGGACCTGTTCGTCACAATGGCCACAGGAAGAGTCCTGCTAGGTTCTCTGCTGCTCCTGTCACTGCAGCTGGGTCTCAGCAGGGGCCAGGGTGCTCCAGGAGCTCCAGTGGTAGAGGGAACGCTCTCATCTGAGCCAGCAGCAGACATAGGAACCTGGAAGCCACAGCTGGGTAAGTACCCCCAGGACCCCGTGTGACTCCCCAACTCCTGGCTGGCCAACCCCACTCCGCTGTCAACTGCCCCTTGTGCCCCCAGGTGCCCACCTGCACCGAGCTCCTGCTGGCCCATGCCAACTGTGGAGCCTGGCCCTGCCAGTGGTGGAGCTGGGCCTGGGCTACACTTCAGAGGAGATGATCATCTTCCGCTACTGCGCTGGCAGCTGTCCGCGAGGTGCTCGTACTCAGCACAGCCTGACGCTGGCCCGGCTGCGAAGCCAGGGACGAGCACATGGTGGCCCCTGCTGCCAGCCCACCCGCTATGTGGATGTGGCCTTCCTGGATGACCGCCACCGCTGGCAGTATCTGCCCCAGTTTTCAGCGGCTGCCTGCAGCTGCAGTGGCTGAAGGTACCCAGACCGGGGCCCTGCAGCCACCCTAGGGCTCTGCTGACTTACTTATTGGAGACTTGGATGCTGCAAAGATGGGAAGGTGGGGGTGGGTTGGGGCTGCCAGCAAGGAACACAATAAAGAAAATTGCTCCTGGGGTCTTGTGACTCTGTGTTCAGTGGGGTGCACTCTGACCCTGCTATCTTAGCTTTCGGTTGGTGGGCAGTTGGGTCCTGGGCTTCCCTTGCAGATCCCAGCCCCAGCAAACAGCCAGTGCAAGGAAGGCCACCTTGTCCATTTCCTAGCTTTATTCACACAGTGTCTCTGAGAAGCTGGGGGAAGGGCCTAGGGGTCATCAGGCTGGGGATGGCTGCCTGGGCTCCTCTGGCGCCATCCCTTCAGGGAGGGAGCGGCAGATCACAGAGATACGTCGGCCCCGGGGAACCCGAAGTCCCCCAAAAAAGGACTCTTCGTCCCGAAGGATCTCATGGGAGAAGTCATAACGAGCCGAGTCTCTGCAAGAGAAAATAGAGGCAGTAACTGGGTGGGGTGCCGGCACCCTGTTCTAGGCTGAGTGTCTGCTACGTAGGGAGGGGATGATAGTGTTTTTGTGAGGGCTGAATGAGAAGGTGCTTGAAGTGCTGGGTATTGTCTGACCAGAGACTAGTAGGGTGAGGGCTCCTTGGCTGGGCAGTACCTAAGGATATACAGTGAGCCTGGTTCCAGCAAGAGTTCTAGCCACTCCCCTGGATCCTGGGTGTGTACCAGCCGCATGACACTGGGAGATAGCAGGGACAGGCCAGCGATGGTGGTTCCGCAGAACTGGAAGAGGGCACATGGTGGTAGGTCAGGCTCTGGCCTGGTTGTCCCAACCCCAGCTAGGAGCTCCAAGATGCTGGCTGCTGCCCACCTTGATGCTGTCCACGTGTGGCTTGATGTAGCCCCGAGGTTCCAGGTCCAGCACGTGCACTGAGGACAGCAAGGTCTGGCCAGGGCCAAAGGCAGCCACCTGCACACGCTGCAGGATGGCCCGGCTTGCCTCTGACCAGCGAGACTTTTCTGTCTCTCGGAAGCCGTGGATGGCCTGCATAGAGAGCTCAGGTCAAACGTGGAAACTCCCAGGGGTAGGGAGTCATGGGGGAGAGGACAGGGAAACTGAGGTAGGCAGGGACATCTTCAAACAGCAAGGGGCTGTTTTTCCAGCATGACCCTTGACTTCGCCCTCAACTCACAAACTTTGTCCAATCTAAGCCATGATCTGGGTCTCAAACCCTGAGCCCTGCCCCATCTACTTTGGCCTCAGTCTTTTTTACCCTCCCTCTAGCTCCAACTCAGTCCCAAATCCGGGCCCCAATGCTGAGCGGCCACAATATTCAATTTTGTGTCAGTATCCCCCCCAAACGGTGACCCTCCCACATCTCGCTCCACACCCGTTTCTCTCCCTAATCTTGGTCCCGTGCGCCAAACACCGTTCAGTTCCTGGTCCTGCCCCCAGTTATGACCCTGGCCTCATCCTCAAAGAGCCCTCTCGGCTCCCAGTGACCCCTAGCTTCAAGACCCCGCCCCATGCCCAAGGTCCTGCCCCAGCCGTAGTCCCGCCCCACCCAGAGCCTCACTCC